CACACACACACACACACACACACAGAGACAGACAGACACACACATACACACAGACACACACAATAAAACCTAAACCAATTATTTGGTTTTCTTGAGGTTTTCTTTTTATTCCTCATGCAGTTGAGTTTAGCCACATTTGAGATTAACAAACTATGGCTGTACAATTTCATTACTATAAAATTCAACATTACTTTAATTTAACACATTTAAAATGTAATATGGGTGCAGTGTTGTTATTGTTAACTAAACCAGTTTTGTTAATTTAAATAAAGCTAAAGTTAAATAAAATTAGATTAAATATTAGAAGATTTATTTCACACTAGATGAAAAACTTAACTTGCCAACTAACCGAAATAAAATTGAAGCCAAAAATAATTTAAAATAAAGTAATGCTAAATAGAAATATTTAAAAAAGACAAAAGCACGTGGCAAAATTACTAAAGCTTATAAATGAAAATGAAATATTCAAAATATTCAGAAATACTATAATAGTACATAAATAATAATAAAATAACACTTATTGGTTGGCAATATATATATTTTTTAATTGCCCATTTTTGCATTATTTTACTGTTTTTGGACCTGAAAAAGGCCCTGAACAGTCCAGAAAAGTCAAGCAAAATTATAATAGTCAAGAAAAAATTGATTCCTCATGATATGATCCCCTTGATTTCTTTTTTCATGCATGAGCTGCTTGGGTAAACTTGTCTTGTTTTAAGGAAGTTGGATGTTTTCCAGTTAAAATAATAAAATAATTGCCATGTAATTTCAGCTAAATGGTCTTGTAAAATAGTGGAGAAAGAGTTAAAATAGACAGACAAATAACAAATGAACATTTATAGGGTGAAGATGAGGAAGATGAAGGGTCTGGATGTGATCATTGGGGCGATGAGATCTTCCCGTTCGAGCGGGAGATGAGTGATGATGGGGGGTCTGAGGAAGCAGCGTCTGTCCTAAACAAACCCAAAGCCGAGCTTACCAAATCCAAATCTCCTCCGACGGCTCCTGAAGGCTTTCAGTATGTCTTCAGCAAGCGGTTCTTCAGTAATGGCAAGGTAAAAATGCTACTGAGCTTCAGTTTGCATGTCTGTGTGAATCCATCCAGTCATGCAATTAGTAAAAAGTAAAAGGTTTAATTGTTGCCAGATATTTAGCTGCTCTTGTTGAGCAATTGTTGAGAAAGGTTCTTAAGTCGCTGGGGTATATTTGTAGCAATAGCCAACAATACATTGTATGGGTCAAAATTATAGATTTTTCTTTTATGCCAAAAATCATTAGGATATTAAGTAAAGATCATGTTCCATGAAGATATTTTGTAAATTTCCTACCGTAAATATAGCAAAACTTAATTTTTGATTAGTAATATGCATTGCTAAGAACTTAATTTGGACAACTTTAAAGATGATTTTCTCAATATTTAGATTTTTTTGCACCCTCAGATTCCAGATTTTCAAATAGTTGTCTCTCGGCCAAATATTGTCCTATCCTAACAAAACTTATTTATTCAGCTTTCATATTATGTATAAATCTCAATTCAAACAATTGACCCTTATGACTGGTTTTGTGGTCCAGGGTCACAAATATAAAATAATTCTGTTGACATTTATAATTTTGACGTTTAATAACTTCCTGCATCAGCAATTCCAGCACATCTTCTCTCTGTCTAGTTTAATGTGGATCATAGTGACAGACTAACCTTCATTGTCTCTGTTAGTCCCCCGTTCTGATATGCAGCCTTTGTAAGAGCGATGGGCATTCGAAACAGGACTGTCCCGAGGACTTCAAACGAATGGAGCTTGAACCCCTTCCACTTATGACTCTAGACTTCCTCCAGATCCTCAATGAAGTCTGTGAGCAATGCTACTGTAAGTACGCTGTCAGTATATTGAGCAAAACACGATTTTCCAGGCATTCCTTTTTAGTTGTTATTTTTGTGAACTAAACCAGAGAATGAAGAATATCATGGATGTCTGTAGACATATGTATTATACTGTAATTAGGGTGATTACATTTTGTAATCTAATGAATTACATGATGTACCGATTAATTAATTGAATCAATAATAAATCAAATAAATTTTGACTGAGAACTTCCCCCCAAAAGATAATTTTGTTTGATGAGAAAAGCATTGTGTAGACCTTACAAAAAGTAGCTTTAGAAAGAAATATGTTCATTCAGTATTGCATATGTGTGACCCTGGAGCACAAAAGCAGTCTTAAGTCGCTGGGGTATATTTGTAGCAATAGCCAAAAATACATTGTATGGGTCAAAATTATAGATTTTTCTTTTATGCCAAAAATCATTAGGATATTAAGTAAAGATCATGTTCCATGAAGATATTTTGTAAATTTTCTACTGTAAATATATCAAAACTTAATTTTTGATTAGTAATATGCATAGCTAAGAACTTAATTTGAACAACTTTAAAGCTGATTTTCTCAATATTTGGATTTTTTTGCCCCCTCAGATTCCAGATTTTCAAATAGTCCTATCCTAACAAACCATACATCAATGGAAAGCTTATTTATTCAGCTTTCAGATGATGTATACATCTAAAAAAATTGACCCTTATGACTGGTTTTGTGGTCCAGGGTCACATATATATTTTTTAAAAGAAACATGAATATTGAAATATGAAATGATTGGGGGCAAAAAAAATCTCTCAATCTGAAACTAAAACCTCCAGTAAGTGGCCTCTGGTTATTTATCCTGAAAACATTTCATTTTTATTGGACATTATCTTGCATTGGTAACAAGCCTCCACAAGCGTTCATGGTTGCGGTTGCCAGATGTCAAGAGTTTAAATCCCCCAATCAGAGCTTTTCTCATAAATCAATAAATTTTCTGCCCAGTGGTTTACTTAATCTTCCTAACCTGGCAACCATGCACACACGCTCTCTCTGCATTATGGAAAAAGCATTACCAGCGAATAGGGCTGTCAAAATTATTTTCGAATTTCGAATATTCGTCGAATTAAAAAAAAAAATCCAAATTCGAATGCAAAAACGTTGCATTCGAATTTTAAACTTTATTAATTCTATATGGTTTATAAACATTATTTTAAACATTATGCACTTTTTTTCAAAGATAGTCGTGTTATTTTATTACGCTTTGAAGAAACGTGGATAATATTTTGCGCGATGCGCCCTCTTGTGGCCTCAGGAGAGAAGCCAAAAGCTTTTTTTCCCCCTAACTGAAATTATGCCTTTTAAATTCTAATATAATTCGAATTTTGATAATATTTAAGTAGAAAATTAGAATTTAGTTTTTCAGTCATTTTGACAGCCCTACCGGCGAACATGTAAGATGGAGTTTAGTGATTTCTCAAATAAAAGTGTAATACAGCCAGTCTGTTTTCTTTCACGCAGTCGCATGCACGGTTGGCTATGACTAAATCAGCAAGCAACCCATGCAAGTTGACGTTCGCTTAATTTGTGCTTAATAATTTTAATGAAATGTAAATCGTGATCAATAATCATGATTATATTTTTGGGCAAAATAATCGCGATTAACCATTTATCAGTCCTATGGTGAAAAGTGCTATACAAATAAATTTGAACTGATCAATATAAATTTGACATTGGTGCATTCATCTTTTCGATTTTTTGTTGTTGTTATTGTTTTTAACAAATGTTGAAATTTAGCTTGCACTTCATTTTTGGCATATAGTTTCAGTGATTCATAAAAATGGTTGTATTCATTTAGGTGACTTTGCACCAGATGATGTGGAGGTGAAAGTCAGAGAACATATTTTACAAGATTTCGAGACTTTCCTGAGATGCCAAGTGCCAGGTAAGTATGAAAAATGAATTCGGCAACACTTTACTTGAAGCCTTTATGCATTATAAAGGTATTCATAATGCAAGTTGTTATGCGTTATATCTTTTCATAATTAACTGTAACTAATGTTCAAATGCAGTATGAAATTGGAATATTTGTTTGTCATGTGTTTTAATGCATTATACTTTCTAAATGTGTAACAATGAATAAGATTAATGGTTACAATTATTCATGAGATCATTCGATGCATTATAAGGTGAATTACAAGACACAATTAATGCATCAAAACTGCTCTTATAATAATGCATTATACATGAAGGCTTTAAATAGTGTTGTCAATTGTCATACACTGAAATAATTTTTCTTCTGCATTGCTGCATAACACCTTGTCCAGTGAAAATGCTGCACAAATCTGTTAATAACATATCTGTAAATAGCATATCTGCTCATTGTAATTCTGTCTATTGTGTATCGTCTGTATTAATGTATTGTATCATATTGGATATAAATTCTATCCACCTTTTTTCTACACCCCATGACACTTTGTGTGAATTATGGGAGTAACTTGTGTTAAACTGCGAGCAATCAGTCAAAGGTTCACTCTATGAACGCAACAATAAGCTTTTTCAAAAATGTGTATTTTTTTTAACAGGAGCCAAGTTAGTTTTGTTTGGCTCGTCCAAGAATGGGTTTGGCTTTAAACAGAGCGACTTGGACATCTGTATGACTCTAGAAGACCAGGACACAGCAGAGGTACTGTGACTTATTTCTACAATTATACGAGGTCTTCATGGCCAGTGTTGGGGAAACTTACTTTTAAAAGTAATGCATTACAATATTGCGTTACTCCCTAAAAAAGTAACTAATTACACTACTTAGTTACTTTATATGGAAAGTAATGCGTTACATTACTTTTGCATTACTTTTTAAATCTGGGCTGGGCTTGTTTCTTTGTTTTTAATATAAAAAGTTCTATTTTTAGCAAACGTAAAAGCCCTATCACCCCAAATGTGAAATAAATTATCTAAAGTAATTTTTGCATGTTAGTGTGGGTGAATTGGATTTTTGCTTTTTGTTTTTAAAGAAAAGTAGGCACAAGTGGAAATAAATTGTTTTATTTATAAATAATCCTGAAAAATTGTATATAGCATGTTTTCAACATTGATAATAATGAGAAATGTTTCTCGAGCAACAAATCAGCATATTAGAATGATTTCTGAAGATCATGTGACACTGAAGACTGGAGTAATGATGCTGAAAATTCAGCTGCGCATCACAGAAATAAATGACATTTTAACAGATATTCTCTTAGAAAATAGTTATTTTAAAATGCAAAAATATTTCACAATTTTACTGTTTTTACTGTATTTTTGATCAAATAAATGCAGCTTTGGTGAGCAAATAAGACCTGTTTTAAAAAACATGACAAAATCTTACCCAGCCAGATGAACGGACTGTAAAACTATATTTAAGCTCTTTTTAGACCTTGTTTGCACCTGTGTTTTGCATTGATTGCGTGGCTCCTCTCACAGGGTTTGGACTCCATGGCTGTTATCGAGAGTTTGGCTAAAGCGCTGCGGAAACACCACAGTAAGCTCTCCGTCTCAGTGTATGAGAGTCATTCTGAAACTGTCTGTTGTTTACACTACTGAAGAGGGATTCAGTGTTCATGAATGAAATTGAGCATTATTATGGAGTTTTGAGACTTTTAGGAAGGAAAAGACTGTATTGTTTCTACACTGCCGTACCTCTAATCTTCTGAATGGTTAATTAAATGCGAAAGAGCCCGTCTGTACGCTTCAGGCAACCTCCATTTACTCTAAATGTGTGTTGTTCAAATAAATCAGTGGTTTTGTTTTACACCCCATCTCTCTCTACCGCTGCCATGTCTATTTATCCATTCATTTTAGGCCTGAGAAACATCCTACCTATTACTACCGCAAAAGTCCCAATTGTGAAGTTTTACCACACCAAAACTGGACTAGAGGGAGATATAAGCTTGTACAATACACTGGTGAGAGAATAAACCCGACACAACATTATTAAATGGACGTTAAGGCCAATAAGTATCGCAGTTGTTTATTGCGCTGATATTTCATAAGAAGAGAGCCCTCATGTGGCTTCTGTAAAAATGATAACATTGTTGATCTTGGACAGTTCCTTCCTTATCGCAAACGTTTAAACTTCAATATTTCGGCATAAGACAAGTACTCTACTTGTTTGGATTCCTTCATGCCCCTTCGTTCATAAAATCTCTTTTTTTTTTTATTACAGATTTTAATTTGGTCGGACATCTCGTCATTAAATAGCTGCAGCATCTAAAGCTTGATTTTTGAAATGTAAATAAATTGCTTTTGTGATTTAGATTTGTTCATTATTTCATAATTTAGCTCTTGACGTGTGCTTGCATGCTAAAATAAATTGCTTTATTTATGCTAGTTATTGCCCACTTCTGCTCTCTAAAGATAACGTTTTTCACACGCACCACATTTGTTAATTTCATGCCTATTCATTCAGTAAATTTACGAGAGTCATTTTATATTACCGTATCATATTATGTCTTTCAGATATATTTTGTTTGTGTTTTTGTTGCTCTCAATCTGCTCCAGATATCAAACTCGAATGTCAGGTATTGCAAGAAGTCAGAAGTGACTGTCTGTGTTCATCAATCAAGTCAAATCAAGTATTTATATGTAGATCACATTAAAGTCAACTTAAGATCGTTACTTCTAACTAGCATTAAAAGCAGGACTGGCAAAAATGATTGATATCCCCCAAAAATCAATTTAATAGAGGCTTCAGTTTTGGGATCGATGATCGAGGCTTTCATTTGTATTGCTTAGTGAAAAGATGTCATCAAACAAATATTTAAAATATCAAATATTTAATACATTGTCTTGTTTCAAAGTTAATTTGGAGAATTATTGTTAAAATGTATTTATGATCACAAATTTCGGTGTTAGGTGCAATTATTTGTGCTAAATTACAGAAACGTGCGCAGTTAATTAGAATTAATAGAAGTTAAAGGGGTCATATGATGCTGCTAAAAAGAACATTATTTTGTGTATTTGGTGTAATGAAATGTGTTTATGCGGTTTAAGGTTCAAAAAACACATTATTTTCCACATACTATACATTATTGTTTCTCCTCTATGCCCTGCCTTTCTGAAACGCGTCGATTTTTACAAAGCTCATCGGTCTGAAAAGCAAGGTGTGCTGTGATTGGCCAGC